TTCATATCCTATACAATAGTAAATCTTCCCCAACCTGTGTCCGATTTCATTCCTTTGTGTTGAAATAATTTACATTGATCACCACTTGCGGTGCCGTGTGGTTCGCACATGGACCATTACTTGTATTGCATAGAGTACGAATTCCATGACATCAGCGTGCCTTCCATACTCTCCAACAACCCCCAGCCCCGCTTCAGAATTTCCATCAACCATCTCCCTCAACGAAAAATCCTATCAAGTCCACCGTCACGTATTTATCGAGCCCCGATGGAAAAAAAATTGTTCAGTAAAGTTCGGAACAGTGCTAATAAGTGAGATGAAAACCCTTTTTTCATGTTGAAACAAATCCTTTTTGGACCAGGGAACTTTTATTTCTCGTTTATTTACATCCCATATAACTTATTTTGTTTCCATCCATATTTATCTTCTCCTTTTCTCTCTTATGCTCTACTCTCAGCCTTGCGCTAAATTTAACCGAGCATCAAGTAGACTTCATGGCAGTTGTCCGGGTAGATCGGAGTGTCATAGAGGTTGGAGACTAAAACGGTTAAAGTTAACTCAGATGGTCTCACTCAGGGAAAGGGTCAATTACAGTCAGAGCTTCCACAAGCGTAGAAGACGTTGCTACCACCCAAGCCCAAACTTCCATCGGGACATGCGGAGAACCCAGCAGTATAGATCGCACCACCCTGAGGAGGAGCATCGAATTGGAGCTGACGGTTGTCAGCGATGTACCCAGTACGTCCGAGGTGGTCGGTCAAGACACCCTTCTCAAGGGTGACCCGGACCGGAAGGCCATTCTGACGGACTTTGAGGATAGAGCGCTTTTGAGGGGCTTGGATCTGCCCATCAGCAATCTGAGTAACAGCTCCAACGGCAGGAGCGACGGGAGCGACAGGAGCGGCAGCTTCAGGGACAGCGGCTTCGGAAACAATGGCTTCCGGTTCAGGTGCACCACATTGTTGGGGTGTCTGAGGAACAACTACATTGGCAACATTTACTGCGGGATTGGCTGCGATGCCTTCAAATCCAGTGGCGGCCCCGACAGCGGAGGGAGCTTGAATTTGTCCATCAGCAATCTGAGTAACAGCTCCAGCGGCAGGGGCGGGGGGTG